GGGGGGCCCCCCCCCCCCCCCCCCCCCCCCCCCCTGATATGAACGCTCTCGAGGACGCTCAAAGTTTCTTCAAAGAGACAGAGAATGGTATCGCCTAAACGTAGAAAGTCTTTTTGGTAGGCTGTCCCCTTCCCTCCCACAATGAATTGGGCACTTTCCGCCCCCTACCCACGACGGAAAAAGTTGGAATAGATTGCTTCTGAACCCCATTCTACACGAATGGAAGGGACCCAGTATCAAGTTTAATTTCATTCTCAAGGTGGCGCTAAATTCCTCACCCTTTCCCTTCAATTACAGTCAGACCAAGAATAAATAAAAAAACAGACTTTCGCTCATATCGAGCACTCGTTCGTCTACAATACGAGAAGGTTGACCTTGTTTTCCGTTCGTTCGAAATCCCAATAATGTTAGGCTCCTATGAGCACTATAAGTGAAAGGCACACAAACTATGAATAAAAAAGAACTTTCATTTATACACAAATGCTCCGGAAAGTGGTTCTCAATGTTCCTAAAAACGGATAACATGAACGAGAATAATATCAAACTCATAGTGATTCATCCAAATTGAGAATTTGAGTTGCCAGACCAATCAGTAAGTTTTCGACGGAGAAAATACATATACTATGCCGGCATCTTATCCACTTCGGAAAGCAAGAAATCCCTGACATCTTGCCTTCCAATAACAGTGAGTGCGTCGAGGAAAACAGGAGCGTATTTTTTTGGGTTCTTGTGCAGGAGGATTTCGAAGAGCTCGTCATAAAGCAGCTTCGGATTTTCTTTGCTTCGGATCTGCTTCTCCTCGTGGGCAGTGAAGACGTTCCTGTCGCTCAAACATCGCAGCAACTCCTCAACATCAACGTTATATTCATCCCGAAGTTTCCGACGATTCGCTCTGATTTTGTCCCATGTTTTCAGGTCCTCGCTTATCTGCCAGTATAAAACAGTTACCGTATCAGTTCGAAGTTTACCATCGCCATTGAAACCCATCGTGAGGAAATATGCATTATTGACTGCTGGGATTGAAGAATATTTGGTTCACGGAATGAAAGAACATTATAGGATGTGCATGGAAGAAAGAGTTTCTTCACAAACCGAATTGTTAATATATCTGGCAGATTTAAGACCAATGCAACTTTTAAGGTGAGTGGCTCTGTACGATCATTCCTATTTTTTTGGCTCCATAGCATCTTCATTCTGGAGTGTCTGTAAGGTACGAATCTTCATCGAGTTATTTATCGTTAAAGTTGTTTGCAATTGTTGATCGAAGGGAACAAAAGAGAATAACGGGGCCTCCCATAATATTGCTTAAAGTATACAAAGTATAAAGTATATTTCCTCATAAAGCATTCAATCTATCAGCATGCCAACTGAACATCTTCATTTTTCTCGCAATTTGGCTCATACATGTAGCCGCAGGTAGAAGAAAATGAATCAGCAGATACTTGAAAAGCTCAATAAGTGAACTTATTTAGGTTCTATTATTTAGGTGACTTAGATTCCTCACATCGAATCATTTTGACATTGGTATTTAGAACAGAACAGACCTGTATTTGAGAAGGTGCTTTCTCACCCATGTAGTCAGAATTTGATGCTGTGAATGATAATAAAATACAGAAGGATAATATGAAAATATCAATATGAAAATTGTCACCAAGATCTGCGAATCAGTATACCATAATGATCCACAACACTTAATTCAGGCATACTCCCCAAGAAACCTATTGGACCCACGCGGTACATTACGATGCCGGTCAGAACCACGAGAAATGCCATGATGAAGCTTCGACGAAGTAGCTGCTGGAATTGATTCATGTAACCTGTGAAACCCCTTCCTTGGCGGGGTTCCGGATCTCCATGGATCATTTCTTCTTAAGGTCTCTCCAGATTCAAATCTGCCACGGCAATTCAACGTGTTAAATTACCGTTTTCTCCACATTAATGTCATGAGACACTTCAGATAATGCAATTTTCTACGGAGATATCTGATTTCCCTCTTCTAGAGCGAGAAAAATAAGGTACGTTAATGTTGCATGATGAAATTTTGTATTTTCATTCCCATTATAGTCTTTTAAAAACGTGAATCGGTTGTGGCAAGTTAGAACAAAACATTTTAAAAACTAACCTAGTGACCCCCTCCGATTTTTGTGAAATTTGATAGAATTATACCGTTGTGTCTATTGAAATACTTACTCATACATTTTATCAGATTTTGCCAAATAGTTTGTAATCACGCCAGATAGTAAAAAATGCTTTTGGCCAATTCAAAGTCATGCATTTCAATTAGTTCGTATATATGCACTTTGATCAGTATTGACTATTATGTCTGCTGGCTCTTAAGTTCTATGGGGTATGAAATCGCATATTGATGCGAAGAAGCTACGATACAGGGTGGGACACAAAATTTAAGTTTCCCTGTGAATACTTCAAAATGAAAGATTTTTATCATGCATATTGCAACACATACATATCTTGAATTTATGAATTTAGGGGTCGACATGTTTCGAAATGCGGTATGTCCACCAGCAGCAGCAGAATACATAACATTGGAAGCTAGAATGGTGACGCAGTGCTTAATATCCTACAGCACAGAAGTACGTAATATGCTTCACTGGGAAACCCAGCTCAGAAGTGGATTCAATCGCACATTAATAATTATTTGGCTTCAGGAAGCCCGTTGTTTATATCTTCTCTGGCCGCGTATGTCGGAAGGACTAACTTTTCATTACACACTACAACACATTATTTTCAATATAACATAGTTCAACAAACCTTGTGCCTCGCTGTACTGAGAAGCAGGTGTAGTCGCTCTGTATGGCTTCCCAGCTGCGCCTTGTGGGTTTGACGGGGTCAGCGCTGCTTTCTCTGTGGCAATTTACAGGTCAAAAGTAATTGTTCAGTTATGATTTTTAAAGAACTGGTGGTCTGCCATTTAGGTATAAAACAGAGTTTGGGACTTTGCTTCGGTCACCGCGACAAATGAAAGGATTCTGGAGTTGCTAAACGATTGTAGCTTCACGTTTTGTGGTTAATAATCTATTGAGATGATGAACACTTCATAATCCGTATCGGGCAAATATTCACATTCCCTTTCAAAAATACTTCCCTTTAAACCCAAATTTATTGTTGAAGATGCGATACGGGTTCTGCCCAGAGGTAGTAACTAATATGTAAATCTACTCATGGGCCCTAGAGAATCTACTATCATCCGTCTATCCTGATGTGGATGCGTACACGCATGAGGTTGATGCATGAAGCTGGTGCATAAATCCCGAGAAGCCTACATCAAAGTCTGGAACGCCTATCGCATTACTTTCTGAGGTTTCATTTGGCACAAGTTCGAAGTTTGACAATCAACAATAATCTAATAGTGAAGTACCCCTGAGGGGGGGAAATGGAAGCAAGCGCCATCCACTGCGCCGCTTTCTTTCCCCATTATTCGGGCCTCCTGCGAACCTCCTCTGCATTGCCTCAACATGCGATATTGGAACCTTCTCCGACGTTCCCACGCATTTGGAAACTTTCCGTTCCTAGTTTCATGAATACAATCTTGAAGAACATGGTGTAACGAACCTCGTGACTGGCTGTTCTCAGAAGCAGTCGCAGTCGCTCTGCGAGATTTCGCAGCGGCGCCTTGAGAGTTAGACGAGGTCAGCTCTTCATACTCTGTGGGAAATTACAGACCAATGTATCAATAAGTGCTCAGTCATCGTGATGAAAAAACCAAGATGGCATATAGATATTAAACAGACTTTGGGACTTCGTTTCTTTCCCCTCGACTATTGAGAGCATTCTGGAGTTGCACAGCAATTGTCACTGAAAGATTTTGCAACTCAGAAAATATTCTGTAGATGAAGGGGAATGCATAATCCGTATTGGGCATATTTATATTCATTTTCCAAAAAAAACTTATTTAAACCAAAATGTATAGCTTGAAATGAGATACATAACTTAAAATGGTTCAAAATTCTTCACCCCGAGGTAGTAGGAACGATCGGAGAAGTCTGAATATTAGAACCCAAATTCTTTCATAATCTGGAGTGATTTAAATTGTCTGCAATAGCTTTCAACTAGGAATTAGTGATTTACCGGTCAATATGTTTCCTATTAACGACAAAAATTGAATATTCACCTGTTATGCCATTTAGTATTAAAATTCATTCCTTCTATATTCGTTTATTTACCCAAGTGAACAACTCATTCAATGCCATACGATTTAGCAATAACTTCCTCTGAAGAAGGTATCTTGGTGAAAATTAATTTATTATATCTCTCTAAGCAAATTAGACGAAAATGGAAAATTACTCATTTGTAGTGTGATTGCTGCTTTGCCAATGACACAAGTTTAAATATCCAGGGAGGTTATTTTGACGTCGAAGAAGTTTTTCCATGCGATGGTCGAGACAACGGAAAGATTCAATGCTAAGTGATTGTATCTACAATAGAGAACATTAAAAACATATGTGGTAATTATTCAGTGTGTACAGCATGAAGAAGCAATCTCCCTCGTTTCGATAAATTTTTCTTTTACTAAATAGGTTTGAAAAGCTGTGCGTGGTTCAAAATTCCTGCACTAGAGGAGAAACAGAGAGAGTTATTTAGCACAAGTGAATGCACATGGAGGAATGGTGCATCGGGATCGTAATACCTTTTTCCCAGCGATAGAAAAGATCTCTCCGATCATAGTTTATAGTTCATGAATTATACAGTATTTACACGTGTGTCATGGTGGCTAATTGGAGGCATGAGGAAGAGAATTTTTTAAGCCGTTTTCTCCACACCCTGCAGAAATCCTAATAAGACTGCGACATATCGTGAGGATTCAGCATGTTATTCAATGTTTTTTATTTATAGCCTTTGGTCTGGCTCCGTAGATTTCTAAATGTATTTTTGCCGTCCTCCAAGTCATCTGGAAAAAAAGATGAGTTTCGCTTTAAATATAAAACAAATAAACTTGAGTGGAAACGATTCTCTCAACCGGTCTAATAATACAGGAGAGAAGGCTTCCCTTAGGTTCTCACGGCTCTTACGGAGTAGAGGAAAGTCGCCGTGCTGAAGGGCTTCCTTGTCTTGAAAAAAACATATGTCCTTGCGAATGATCTTGAAGAACTCGTGATGTTCGATGACATCTGCGGCCCTAATGTCTTCCAAGACTCCGTCAACGTTGATAAAGTTCAATCCTTCTGCGTGATGAGCGAGGATGGCGGCGATCTGACGCTGTCTTTGATTCGCGTCCATTTCCGGAGTGATTTCTGCTCTGAAATGCGGCGAGATACCCATTTTATCACCGTCCTTTGCGAAGTCGTTATCTTATTTTATTATGGGTGCTCGGTAACAATTTGCCTTCATGACAATAGCAAGTTATAGCATTGGTGCATAATGAATGCCACTGGTATGGGGCTTTCCTAGAGCAAGGGTATCAGACAACCAGCATGCACCGAGAGAGAATCCCTTCGGGCCAAATTTGGACAATATAAGGTAGTGGTAGATTATTCATTCTACGAAGTAGCACTTTGGCCCCAAGAGAGGTCCAATCTTGGCCATACATCAGAAATAATTTTAGACCCCTTGGCTCAAAGCACGCTATAATGACAGAACATATCTAATTCTTTTAGGTAATGAGCGCTCCAGACTCGAAAAGGAGAAAACATTCGGGCGAACAAATCACGAGCCCCAAGGCTATTCTACCATTTTTGACACATACTCATCCCGAATGACACTGTCTCCTTCCCCTTCTTGCTACGACACGAACTCAGAGAAGGGGCGAGATGTGTAGTTCTACCACAAATCGGGCTTAAGAGGGCCAGGTGTGGCTCTGAATCAAATGGGGCTCAAGGAGATTTTTCCAGCCAGGGATATCTTTATGGAATGGTATAACATGCTCACCTGTGTAGCTTTTCCCATCGATTTTGCGTGTTAGGACTGCTTCGTGGTAATAAAAGGGAAACCTACGAGGGTGAGTGTGACGTTAGTCTTATTGTACCTGCTGAGACAGCGAGAGCTTCACTTCAGAAGGTACATTTATGTCTTATCTTTTATCTATAGATATCAAAGGAGCAGTTGACCCTCGTTTTACCGTGCCTCGATATAGCACCACCCTTGCTCATCGCCTGCCTCTTCCTGCAGACGAATACAGGGTGTCCCATTAGTCTGGAACTATAGGGCAAAATGATGATAACGACTTGTATTCACAGAATGTGTTCAATGTGTCCACCATCATGATTGATACACAAATGCAGACGAGGTATCCAGTCAGCAATCACACTTCGAATGGTGTCAGGAGTGATGGTGAATGTACGTAGCTACTACGCGAGGGCGTATACTTGCAGGATAGGATTGGGATACCAAGGTCTGAATACCCTGTGGGACGTACCAAGTAAACTATATCGCAGTAGGAGTATTGTCGCGGTTTAAGCCGGCTGACGAATAGTGGCGTTATATCGAGGGATGACAGTACTTCAAAATGACTCTCTCCTCAGCAAGACCCTTCATTTTCGAGTGGGAGTTGGAGACTCTTCACTGGCCGTAGAAACACCAAAGTATTCTATTCGCTATAATCAATTGGTGCGGTTGCGCCCATTAGCTTTCTTCAACCCCTTCCGGCGACAAAAATTCAGTTGTCTTGTATTCCTCTCTGAGAGCATCAACATAACGAAATTTGGCTTAATTCTTCCTCTCTCAACACAGAATCGCTGCAGCAACTTTGAAGCTCCATCTCCCCAGGATTGTGGAGATCACTAAATCTCGGTTTCAGATGTGAATTTTGTTCCCGTATTTTTTTTCTCACTCCTGCCCCTAGGCAGCCGCTCCTGAGAAGTTTTTGGAGGAGACAACTACCAAACGAAAGATATTGACTTATAGGTGCAAAACGTGTCCATTTTTGTTGCTCCTAGTGAAGTATTTCGCCAATAAAAAATGAAATTAGAAACCGTTAATTTAGGCTTAGCGCAATGGCTCCGTTCTCTCCTCCAGTGTTGCCGGATATCGTGCCTTAGCTATCCCAAATTCATGACTTCTTCGGCCCTAGTATCTTTGTCTGTATCTTCTCTTTTTAATATAAGAGACATAATTTCATTGAATTGATGGGATGAGCTGAGATTGAAGTGGTAGTTTGCAGTGGCTGATGAATTTGATGGAGTACGGATATATCTCATCCGGACATCCCTAAATTACCATGATGTCGGTCAGTTTGTATGTCATACGCCCTAAAGGCATTTTCTTCTTGGAACGAGTCAAGACAGTTCGAGGAACTCTGGGTAGGCTTAATGTTCCCCGACCGCATTGAAATGGTTCGTGGAACTCGAAAGAGACCTGCATTCTGTCTAGCGTAACACGTTCTCTGTTAAATAGGCCATGAAAAACTGAATAGGCCCGCGAATGGCCTAACGTTACACGTTTAACGAGGTGTCTCGAAAACCAGGGTTTAGCTTCTTTTGAACCAGAAAAGAAAGGACTAGGCCTAACTGCAAGAGTCCGTCGGTTAGGCCTCTCCTAACGTTAGTGAGTCCGGTAGATAAGGGTGGAAGGGGAGGGGGGGGGGAAGGGGAAGGGGGAAGGTGAGGGTGAGGTTGGGTTCAGGTTGAAGAAAGGTAAAACTTTTGAAATGTGGTTTCCACATTGCTATATATAAGGAAATGTATAGAATAGTAATATCGAAGTGAACAGAAAGTGTGATAAGTGTCACACGAGTATCACATATGTTTGCACTAGTACCTTCATTTGTTATCATCGATCACGTAATAAGATCCGCATGAATGTCCGTGTGACATTGGGGGCTGAGCGACGCATTCAATGCTGAATGGACAAGCGTGAGTTGCTTTAAATGGGTACCGACATTGACATATTCAGTCATGGATCGGTCCATTTCACTATAAATGGGGTTGCTTTTGCCGCCTCGGTGGAGACTCCTATGACCATAAAGTTTGTCCCAACCGAGGTTGCAGTTTTGAAATGAGGTTTTTATTTAAATGTATACAATCATTTTTCCAATGCAGAATAGTTCTGTACCTTGTAGCTGTCGGTGGCACTTGGACTGGGTGGGATCCCGGAAAAATACAACCTGAAATGGCAGAGGAGGACAAATAATGACTGATTTGCGATGCGTCGCCACACAACTTGACAAAGTCGTGAGATTTTCTTGAGGAAAATATTTGAGAACCAGAATACCTTGCAAGTATTTAGCAGCGTCTGTGTGAATCTCCTGAAGTGCTTTAAGGAAGAGAGGCAGAACTTTTGCAGGATCTTTGGCGTATAAGATCGTAAATATTTCATCGTAGCGGTCAATCGGATCCCTTTTGTTTCTGATGGTCTTCTCTTCTATGGCTGTGAAGACGCTCTTGGAGATCAAGCTCTCCAATAACTTATCGCCATCCACCCCGAACTCATCTCTTAGTTTCGACTTATTTTGCCTTATCGTACTCCAATTCTTCAATAGTTCGCTCATTTTGAAAGTCGTGTTTGCATTGGGTGAATGTCGGTCCTCCACGAACTCTTTTCAAACTTCAAAAGGACAAATCCAAGCCAAGCCGTTTATTGATTATCTGAAAATATTGCGATCCATGTCATGCTAAGGATTAATTATCATAATGATTCAAGAGGAATTCAATGAAATGTGTATATAGAAGGCTGCATTAAGAATGGAATAATTTCAACATCTTAGACTTCTACCCGAAACAGGAGCCGGGATAGACACTTATATTTTCCCCCTAGCAAAAAAAGGTTTATGCTCATAGTAGAGTGAATTCAATCGCTTTAATCTATGAAAGCTGATTGGTATCTCAAATTGAAGCGGAAAGAAAATAAACATCTAATTATGTTAGTTTGTTTAATTAATATTTATACTTTCTCCATAAAAATGTTCAATAACGAAACACAAATATTTCAACCCATGATTCTCCCCTGTGGGAATTGTGACAACAAAGTCGAATTTCGGGTAAATAAGCTCTTGCATTCATCAAGTAGCGTTCAAAGTGAGTTTTAGGAGTTAGAATTTTGATATAAATATCATTCAGTTCAATTTAGAAAATCATTCTTTTTTATGACCATTGACCTTGTTTTCCACCATGTGGCTAGGTTAATAGAGAGCCAATCTTTGCACTTTGTGATAGTACCACATGTCCGGAAAACGTTACATTTTTGACGAAACCTTAAAAGCATTCACTCGATCACAACCCATTTTCAGATAGGCGTGTGTGAGCAAAGTACCGCACCAATATGTTTCTTGTCCATCGTAGCTGCGATGGCCAGTCGTGTTTCATCAACGTGCATATTGTGTCCTATGTGACTGCTTCTGAGATTGTCTAACATGTAACGTGTTTTCCGGGCATATTGTACTTTTAAAGAACATTCTAATGATATACAGTGAGGAACAGAGTTATTTCATGAGCCAGGTATTATTCGCATTTGTCTCTGTATCTAACTTTTTGCTTTAATTTTCTCTTCATATTTTAAATCCTTTTTATTATCGATTTGCTAGCGTAAATGCTTAATCGGATATATTTAATACCACGCAATGGTAACCTGATTTATATGTCATACATAGCCTTCACAGCGCCAGTAGAAAAATTAAGGCAACACTCACTGTGACTGAATGAATCCTCATCGTAAATCCTCATCCCTCACCATCTTACATTCTAGATGCTTTACGCTGGTGGTAAAACGGTTCAGAGAGAATTATTCTCTTGTCCGCCGCTTCAGGAACTGCTACTCGTCTAACTGGTGTAAAGTAAACTAGGGGATTTGGATCCGAGATGATGACAGTTCCCCTGTTTAGTGATCTACTTGGAGTGCTCCTTGCCCCATTGCTGACGTCCATTTCTCATCTCAATCAGAAGGGGCTTCTGAGAACGACAAGCCGTAGTCTCACTCGCGATCGGTCAAAACATCGCGGTTCGGCTGCTCATATCCAGACCAGAATGCTCATGCCAGGTCAAAAAAGTGGGCGATTTATCTCGGAAATATTAGTATTTTGAGAATTTACTCTCTTTTTGAGAGCAAAAACACGAACTGCAGCTTTACGAGAGGTATTTTATTGCCATGAAAAGTTGACCTTGACATGGAACGTCGCAATGGACTGAAAAAGTCTCTTTACAACTTTGCGTTCTTCCCCAGACCCTGAGGAAGAAGGGAAAAAAGCTCATCTGATGGGTTTTCGATCTTCAAGGACAAGGCCTATCTGTATCTCTCTCCGTCCGGTCCCTGAAGTGTCCTTAGACAAAAGAATCCCCCTACATGATGGATGTACACGGCTTTAGCTTTAAGGGAATAGTCTTTAATTGCAT